CAAAGGCAAAAATAAAAAAAAAAACACTTTTGCAGCATAAATTGTACACAAAAATATAAATACCAACTGGTGAGAATTTTTTTTTTAATACTTCTTCTAATATTTAATAAGTTACTACAATTTTTAGTAGCTAGAATAAATGTTGAACTATATGTCAATTTAGCAACTTCTAAATAATCTGAAAAAATCATATAATTTTTTACTACCAACAGAATCACATTATACTTTAGCATTCAAAAATTAAAAAAAAAAATGTTGTGGCTAAACCTAATAATTCAGGGTACAGAGAGTATTTATACAAACAAATTGTTTTTAGTACGTTAATTTTTCACAAAGTTATGGCGCTATAAGTTTAAAAGTAACAACGTTAGAAGGTGATTCTTTATGCGAATATTACATTTTTTGTTCAAATTTGACAGCCTTTTGCAGATACATTAATACGCAATATAAGACTTAATTTTCATAAGTTTAAAAGACGCAGTACGAAAGTACTGTTTCGCAGTATTTCCGAAACATTATCACATGTTATGTTGAAAAAGTTAAATTTTAGTGCAAAATTTGCTATTTTGAAATATTTTACACCTGTGGGCAGGTGTAAAGTTAGATTTTTAGAATATGTATACCAAATGAAATATAAACACCTAAGGTAATTAAATAAAAAAATAATTAATTTGTTTTATTTATTTAAAAAATAATTATGACAGTTTTAAGAAAATATGCCATAGTTTTTTTGGGGGTTTCCCCATTTATAGGGAACGTATTATTAAAGACAATAACTTCTACTACATACGATTTGTGAGCGTTTGACATGTCATTTTAAAAAATTGGTCTGGTGATAGCTGAGAAAAAGTGCAATAGACATAAAAAAAAGAACACATATTAGTAAAATTAATACTTTCTTAGCTTCGCATCAAGCTAAAAGACACTATGAGACTTTGTAAACAGCTAAATATTATTTTTATTCCAACAACGTGCTCAATTATATTTTTTCAGTCAGCAATAAATTTGATTTATGACACGGCTATGAAGTAGTTAACCAACTCACACCACAGTCTAGTTATACATTTTCAATTGCCTAGACCTAACTAAATGCGGCTACTGAAAGCCTATCTTATTTTAATTTTAGAATTTTTATATACAAATAATTAAAAATGCGTCTGACATCTTTTATTAATTACAATAAGAGTAAGTATTTATTTTTTAAGTATCATAAATTGATTTACGGTCTAAAAACTAATAATTTTATAACATTTAAAAAAAACTCCCTAATTTAAACAAGTTAATCACATCAAAACTATGTTATTTATTGAACTTATTGATTATGTGAATTTCTTATTAAAGCTATATGAACTATTTTGATTTAAAAATAAAATTTATATTTATATGATACCTATAATATTACTTATAAATACATGAATTAGTGTTTAAAAGTACTACAATATTTTATCACAATTGTGCGCCTCATGTTTCTCTTAGCCCCTTTTTTAATTAAAATATACATTTATATTAGGCAAAAGTTTTTTGGTCATTCTAGAGTCAACTTTAAAAAACTCTCTAAAAACTAATGTTCTACATAAATTCGTGACCTGCAATCTGATTATGTAACACCCATTCAAAACTACCATTTAAACATTTATTTAATTATTAAAATTAGTGTAAACGAATTTCACCGGTTGTTAATCGTACTTTATTGATGGTAACATTGCAGTTTGTCAGTTCGCTATTGTTTAAAGAATTAAGCTTAAAAATATAAAAAGTTGTCGTTATTATTGCAATTTATAAGTAAAGCATTAAAACTTCAAAATTATCTAAATAATATGTATAATTATACTGTATAATATTCATTGATATATTTTAAATAATTTTAATGTGCGCATTACTGAAAATATTTCATTTTATTATTTACAGTCAAATAATATTTGTTAATAATACAGTGTAATAAAAACTATACTTAATTTAATCTAGGATTAGTATAATGTTAAAAAAATTGTATAATTTAAATATCTTTCAAATAATAAATAGATTTTAGCACATTGAATTTTATAAATAATGGAATGATTCAAAGCAATAACTACTAAATGCATTACTACCTATTACAAAACACTGAAATGTTTTTAATACTCTTATTCGTTGAAATATTTGTAGTGTTTTCGTATTATATCAGTATAATAAATAACGATGGTCGTGAAAATAATAGTTTACATAAAAGCTGCACTACATAGTTTACGTCATGTGCACACCATCAACAATAATTCACGCCAGTGTAGTACCCTCGAAAATATATATATATATACATTGAAAACAGACAATAGGAGGTACAAAGTGCATTCGCATTTGGCCGTTAAAAGGCATTATTTTGAAATTATTGCTAAGTTAAGCCTGTTATTTACAGGTGAATTTCATTTGAACTATAAATCATGTTAGAGAATAAATCCGCGGTAAATAATCTACAAATAAAATTAATTAATTTTAGATTTTTAAAAAGTCCATTTTAATGAAAAGTAAGAGAACTTGTTTTCGAAATCGTACCATAAAAATACAAACTTGATGGAAATATGTAATTATTGTAATCATTATTATTGATGAATGATTGGCTGTTAGGTTAGAAAGTGTAACCTAATGTGTTATTTTAAATTACTATTTTTCAGTACTACAAGTGTTTAAACAAAAGCTATTTTGAAAATAATTTAATACTTATTTAATATTTTTAATTTCTAAATATGTTCTTTGACATTATGGTGACTCGTCACTATAATTAAGGTTCGAGAATTCTAAGATAAAAACAATTGAGATCGTGTCTAAATAACCGGTAAAAAAGAAATTCGTATTATATAAGCTGAAATATGACTGAAATCGTTGAATGTCAAAAAACTTTGTTATATACTTTCAACATTTGTCGTCTACTTGTAATATATTTATTAGCTTAGTTTTTATTTCGTAATGTAATACTAACATGTACATCATTATACATGTAAATAACCAGGATTTATTTCTGTTTTATTTTTATTATTTTGAACGATCTTAAAAGTTCATTTCATTGTTGTCACATAAGTCGTCACGTATTATTTTTATTATTTATTAAAAAATTAGGCGTTGAAATGATTAATATAAATCCTAATTGTTTCGATAATTTATATGACAGTTTTGTCAGTAAAATGAAAAAGGGTTGAAAACGCTATAATGTCAGTGACGTTAAAATTCTTTGTATTATCCAAATAATGCGGTAGAAAAGCTGTGGCAAATAATTGAATACTTGAAATGCTTTACAATTATTGTTGCGCCTAATCTTGTTTGCTGTGAACTAGTATCATATCATTTATAATACTATTTTAACTAATGAAATGTACATTAATATATATATTTTTTTTAATTATCAAACATTTTAATTGATTGATTTTGATGGCACACATTTTATTATAAAAGCAAAACTATTTTAACTTTATTGAAAATTAAACATTTAATAACATTTAAAAAATTGTATGATTTCAATTAACTTAAAGTTATATAAATTGTTCGGTATGGGTTTGTATCATTAAGTTTACATATATACACACTTTCTGTAAAATAGGGCAACTTAGCATCTTAAAAATAATATTGTCATTAAAAAAAAAGAATAGAGATAATAAAATGTCAATGCAAACTTATTACACACTTTGTCTAAGTATTTTATACTTAATTTTAACTCGGATAATTTTTACTCTTTTACAATAAATACTATATTAGGAATTTTTAATTCAATGTGGTGAAAAGTCTGTCTATTTTACGGTATAAACGTATATACTGTAATATTAACGTGTACGTTGATATACAATATTATTCAGTGCATGATAATAATGAACTGTTCATTAACCGATAGATAATTTATTTTAATTAGGGTAATAAATCGAATAATACACACAAACTTCATTAAAAGAACTTTTATTTATTAAAACTGCTAACTTACAATTTAACCACATATATGAGCTTAATTTCTCTATTTATCTGGGGCTTTCTTGAAATATATGTATGCAAAGATGATACCTTAAGCCATAAAATCCCTGTAAAATTATGGATTGAACCTTTAATGTAATTACTTTTACATTACGCATAAATAGTAATATATAATATGTTCATAATATGTTTCTAAGTAATGTTATGTAATCATAATGGTTCTATACTAAATAAATAGAATAATACTGTAAAGCTTTTGAATTTTCTAAAATATTATTAAAAATTTTTTTATAGAATTTCTGAAAAAATATTAGTAGTGTTGCGTCATATTCTGTAACATCATTTACAAAAACTTATTGATAAAATTGAACATTTTTACCTAATTTTTAAAAATTTACTATAATTTATCAAGTTCTCTGATGTATTGTTTATTATTAATCGTCAATACAAGTTTATAAATAAATAAAGTTGATTTTTGCTTTGAATGTAGTTTCGCCTTTTTTTATTATTTGAAATTTTAAAATTGCTGTATCATTAAGAAATTACTATAGTTTAAGTTCAAAATTTTATTAATATATTTTCTAGGCTTTATAATTTAGCCGCTGGAAATGTTATGTTTATTTGTTCAATGAATTTTTTTTATCAACATGTTAATTTAATAATATTCATAAAAATATTTTAGAAAAAAATCTATTTTTCTTTGTATTAAATAGTATATTCTAAAACTTCATGTTTATTTGATTAAAACTCTCATAAACAAACTGACTTGTTTATATATTTTTTATTAAATTGTTTCGTAATTTTGATTTTAAAAATTAAAAAAAAAAAAAAATCAGGAACTAGTCTTCTTCTAGACGAAGACATAAAATTTTACTTTAATTGGATATAAAGTTTCTTAGTTTCGCACCCTACAATTGATAAATAATAACTATTCCTGTTACTTACAAATTAAAGTCAAGTATATTATTGAATTTATTCATATGGGTGTTAACGTATAATGCTAAATATTTTTTTAAGATTAAAAAACCACTTTTAATTTATTGTAAATATTTACTCGAAAACTCACTGAATAAAGTTTATTAACATAATTTCAACTATTTTATTTATTAATTTAAGTTGTCGTACAGTTTTAATACGATATTTTTTATTATTTATAAATCTATTTTTAATGTTGTTAAACATTGTTTCAGTTATTTTCATTTTCATCATCGTCTTCATTTGATTCATTACTGCCTTTGCAACCTAATTGGTTTTTAATTATGTCATTGGCTTTTTCTGCGACAAATAGTGTAGGAGCACTACTTTCAGTGCTAAATATTCTTGGTATAACTGATGAATCTGCTACCCAAAGATTTTCTACGCCAAAAACTTTCAAATTTTGATTTACAACTCCTTCTGAAGGATTTAATGCTATTGAACAGGTACCTGCCATTTGAACGTTCATTGTAGTTAAATGCTTAATAGCATATTTCCAGTACTCTTCAGAATCTACATTTGGTTCAGGACCTCCTGCAATTTTCAAAGGTACAATTTTGGGGCCATATTTCTCAAATGCCTCTGAGGTCAATACTTTTTTAAACCATTCAATGGCTTTTAATAAAGTAGTAACATCATCTTCGTGAAGTGATCCGTATTTTATTACGGGTTTATATCCATTATCAGTTTTTTCAATAATGACATTTCCAGAATTTGTCGGGTGTAACAATGAAATACCAACAATTTCCATATCATTATTTTCATTAATGTCGATAATTTGTTCTGTAATATTGTCATTGAAATTAAATGCGTCTAATTGAGAAGGCATAAAGACAGTATCATCTTCCGAATAATAGTAAAAATGAATTTGGACGTCAGGAGTTCCATCTTCATTGACATCAATAAAACCAGTGAAACTAGATAAGCCAATGTTGGCTAAAGGACCGCTCTGTTTCAATAAATATTCATAAACCATTTCACTGATAGAGTATGCTTTTAGTGGTTGAGTTTCAAAAGATACAATCATACCCAAGAAACTGGCATGAGCTTGTAAGTTAGAGCCCACTCTTTCGTTTACAGCTACTTCTGGAATGGCCAATGAGTTAAGTAAAGACTTAGGTCCAATACCTGATTGTAATAAAAGTTGAGGAGATCCGATTGGACCTGCACTTAAAACTACACCTTCGGTAACTCTGACCTTAATTAGTTCTCCTATTGAATTTTCAAATTCAACGCCCACAACTTTGTTGTCTTCAAAAAGTAGTCTCTTAGCTGTTGATTTCAGTGCTACTCTCAAATTATATTTTCTATTAGCATCGGTCAAGAATGCTCTTGCTGCGTTTAAACGTAAACCATTTTTAATCATAGCGATAGAGGAAACAAAACCTCTGTGATTTTTTACATCAAAGTAATCCACTGTTTTAAGGTTGGATGAAGATATAGCTTTTGAAAAGCTTTGTCTAATACCTAATGTTCTAGTATTTCTAAATGAGTCAACACTTACTTTTCCGCCTTGGCTGTGGAAATTTTTAACTGTTTTACTTGTAGTAATTTTTTCAAATTTGCAGTCCTCGGACTTTTTGTAAAGTTTTAAAGCGTATTTCCATCCCCATTTTGTCAAACCAATGGATTCTAAATAGAGGTAATCTTTTTCTAATCCTCTATCATACAACATATTATTCATTGCTGTAGTTCCACCAAGGCACTTTCCTCGAATAACATTCACCTTTTTTCCATCTAAGCTTTGACCAAAAGTTTCGTCTGCTACTGCGAAATATTTCCAATCCATTTCAGTTCCAATGGAGTCGGCCCAGAGTCCGGGAATTTCAGATGTCATTAGAGGTAAATTTCCAGCTTCCAATAATAACACTTTAAGATCTCTATTGTCACTTAGCTTAGCAGCTAGTAATGATCCTGCTGTGCCAGAACCAATAACTATTAAATCAACTTTGTCTTCATCTTTTATTGACAGACAATAGTCTCTAGGGTATAATATTTCCGATGCCATATGACATTGCGCCCTGTTAAGTGCGTTGAGTAATTTCATAAATTCAGGTACAACAAACTGACCGTCAACATTATAACCATATCTGTGGCACATATCTAACATATTTATGTTAAACGCTTTGTTTGAACTTTGTGTAGCCCATGTTCTTTTTCTAACAACTCTTGTTGTAGTGGTAACTGAACGGGTAGTTGTAGTCGCTGTTGCACTTGCGGTGTGAGCCAAGCTTCCAAAAGATGCTGCATAAGAATGGACTTCGGTTCCCAAGCTAAAATTATAAAATTAAATAATTGGTTGTATTAAATGATTCTTTAAGTATAAAATGATAATTATAAAATCCACTATATGTACATTTTTGTTCCCTGTAAAAAAAAAGATAAGCTTTTAATCGAAAATGAATGGTTAATAATAACAAAAAGATAGAAAAATCTTCGTTTCAATAAAATGTAGAATTTGTGAATGAATATCAAATTAATTATAGCATACATTGATTGTTCCTGTCTTATTAGCTTGGTTAGATTATCCGTCAATTAAAAAAAAATTAAATTTTTATTTTATTAATTAATTAAGACACAACAATTTAAATTAACTTAAAAAATATCTACTTATAAGCGATTATTAAAATTTCTAAAGAACCCAATCGAATACTTACAAGACTGTGAGCAGTCCCATCAGGAGACACGATATCCTGATAGAAGCCATGGTAATGTTTTGAATGGTCTTTATCGATAAAAATTGGAAGCTTATATTGAAATACTGACCATAATTGTATATTTTTTAAAATATGTTGTTTAAATTTGGTCAACATTTATTTGACGTACACGGATTTATATTTTATTGTTTGATAAAGAAATGTACCACATAAATCATTATAATGGACATCTCACTTGTCAAAAAATGAATTATTACAATTTAATTAAAACTATAATTTGTCAGAAACATAAATTATTAAATTTTTATTTTATTTGTATTCATTGCGACCAAGATTTTGAAAACTATAATTGCAATATTCAACATACATATTGATGGTTTCTAAAAATGTATTAATTATTAGAGGTACCCGAAGACAATTTTTTTAGATTAAACGTACTCGTGTGGAATTATATTAGTAGAATATACAAGAGGTAATTAAATTTTTTGATTATAGAATATCTGTAAATATCATGTTTAAATAATTATTTCAATGATTTGGCTTGAAAATGTTTTACCAAAATAATATCTAATTCGAAACAAAATTTAATAATACAATATATTAATTTAGAATATTTTTTATCGTTATTCTATTGTCATTGATTAATATTGGAATATAATTCATACAGCTGTTCAAACACTGTATCACTATTTTGACATAGATTAATGAAAAATATCGTTTCTCTCAGAAAATAGTGTTGTGCAGTTTATGTTATTGATATTTTAAGCACTGATACTGTATTGTGACAATTTATTGAACGATTGACTATAATTTTCCATGATATCGTAACAGTGAAACTAAATCTTTATACTTAATAATCAACTTAAAAAGTATATTTTATAGATTGTATTTTTTATATAGATAGTAACAAAAATGCCAACGTGCAAAAATCATATTTTTATATCCAAATATAATATTTAATCTAATTGTAATGTATTGTTTTGATAATATAAAACATAATATAAGATTATTTACAAAATTTATTTTAATTTATGTTTTAATCTTAATTTTATATATTTAATATAATTAATTCAGAAATAATTTTGAACTTAACTATGCTAAAAACCTATTAACAGTTTCCTTTGCATAAATATGATCAACTGAAAATTGCGTCAAAATGGTGTCATACCAATCATCTAATTGACTAACAGAAAAATAAGACAAAAAAATTAAGATAAATATAAACAATTGATGTGCAATATCAAAGTAAAATTGATCGAAGTTGATAGAAAAGTCCTCTTTGATTTATCTCAAAAATAAAAAACGGTTCTCAGTGGGATCGCATTACAGTATGGACGTGGCATAGTTGGGATAAGTATAAACGATATCTGACATTGATTAAAATTACAATCATAAGATATGCTTTGATGCAAATCTGTAGATAGTGTTTAATTTTAAGAAGTTGGTGGATTATACCAAAAACATCAAGAATTTCTATTTCCTTCATTATTTCTGATTAGTAGTTTTTTGATTTAGAAGTGTAATATATGAATAAATATTTATCATAGCGAATAAATTCACATGAGGGGATTCAACATTTTTTCAAGAGTATCCGGAACACTTTGAAAAGTTAAGTTGAAAAATATCATTTTTTGTGAATAAGTTGTCATATTGAATCCTCCATATCGGCAGGTAAAGGGTCAAATTTATAAAAAATATATATAAAATGATAGGCAAATACCTCATGTATCTATATAAAAAATTGTATCTATTTTGTCATTTTTAAAAAAGTAATGGCAATTTTAAGTGAAAAAAATTTTTAAAAATGTCAAAAATTAACGATTTTTTAAAATTCGTAATTTTTTTGGAGATTTATCCCATTTACGGAGAACGAGAGAAATTTTTGAGGGTAATGTCTTCGACTAGTTACAATTTGTGATCTTTTGGCGTATCGTTGAGAGAAATTGGTACGGTGAGAGCTAAGAAAAGTGACACCAAAAAAAAATCACATCATAGTTAATACCTTCTCAGCTTCGCATCGTAGCTAAAACACAAAAATATCATTTTCATAGGCTAGGCAGGTTCAAACCTTGTAGTCCAAGTGTGAAAAACACAAATGTTGCCGATTCGTCAACTGTACATCGCATTTGTTCGTGATAAATTTAATCTAATTCAAATTTTAATTTTTTTTTCTTGAAATAAAAAAAAATTAAATAAGTTTATCTTTCTATGCTATGTTAATGAGATTTATATAATATTTATGAAAATTAGTGTACTCCACTTAACGGGTATTTTAAAATATAATAAAATACAAAACTTATTTTTGAATACCGCAGCCATTTTCACCATGAAGATAAATCCAGAAGTCAATTTTTTTTTTAAATTAAAGTATATTACATATGCTTTAATTTAAGATATATTTAAAAGTGTCAGTATTTCCGGAATATTTTCAAAAGTTAAGTTGAAAGAGTCCTAGTTTCTATATGCATGTTTGAATTTTTAACTCACCTTGTATGAAGGGAAAGGATCCAATTAAAAAAAAATATATATGTCGGATTATTGGGTATACAAAAAGTATTTATAAAAAAAAAAAATCTATTAATTCATATATTTTTCAAAGAGTTAGAGCAATATAAATTTAAAAATATAAAATCGAGAATTTTTTCACAAAAATCGTACGTATTCTTTAATTTTAATGTGTGTTTTCATTACTAAGTCAAGTCAGAGGTCAAATATTTTTTTTTCAAAATAAAGTTTATTTTATAAGCTATAATTTAAAGTATATAAGGTTGAGTTGATAAGGGAATTTTTTTCAATTTTTGAGTAGATACAATTTGTGATCTTTTGATGTATGTTCATATGAGAGCTGAGAATGAGTGGTAACAAAAAAAAAACACATTATAGTAAAATTAATACCTTCTCAGCTTCGTATTGAAATAAAACCTTAACATTGAATTTAAATTAAAAAATTACTAAAAAAAATCACAACAATTTTCTTACATAGTAGTAAAATTTTTATTGATATTAATTTTTTTTTGATAAATATGTTATTTCTCCCATTGTAATAAATAATTTTGTAATATTATATTATTAATATTGTAATAAATAATCCCATTGTGTAATAAATAATCGGAATATTCAGATTATAATTATTATAAGTTTTAACTTTTATTTAATTACTAAGATTATTAATCAATTTAAACCAAACACGTATTTATAATTATGGCTTTAACATTTTAATTTAAACTGTATTTATTTTTAAATATTAAAATTTCATGTAAATGCTAACTTTAAATGAGCATATAGTTGTAAATAAAATATAAATGACCAGAAATAAAGGTATTAGAAATTAGTTTTATATTTAATTCAGTAATGGAGATAATTATTAATAAAAGAAAAATATTTTGAATAAACTACTATTTATTTACGATTAATTAGAAAAATGTCAATTACATTACAAAATGACGCTGTAAGAATGGTATACATTTATAAATATAAATGACTTTAGTCTTTTAACATCTTAATTTTATGTGTCATTAGATTATAACAAGTACATATATTTTTGAGAGTAGATTGGTTTTAATAGTATTCAAAGCACAATTTACAATATAATTATATTATATTAAAAAATGCTTATATTATATAAATTTTATAGTACAACTTATAACATAAAATTCTTTTAAAATGGATTCTCTTAATACGTAATTCAAAATAATATTTGTTTCTTTAAAATTCTTACAAAGATAATTATTATTTTAGGTTATAAAAATTATATGGATTTTTTTCATCGTAACACGTCAAACACTTATGTGTGTTTTTAAATATTTGTGAAATGCACAGTGATAACTATCTGGCTAACTTCTACAATTTTGATTATAGGTGGCTCACTCTAGAAGTGTAATCTAATAAAACCTTCAACATTTTTAAGCTTTTTAGATGTAAGTTTTTATACTAAAACTAGATATTTTAATATCATAATTTTAGTAATTAAAGTGTAGTAATGAAAAGGTATTATTCTGAAAAAAAATTTCAGAAAAAGGATGCAACATAGTGAAATTGAGGCATTTTTTTTAGATTAGTATTAATTAATATGTAACAGTGATTTAAACCACTGTCGTAAAACGCTTCGTAGTGTGTTTAAAACAAATAAAAAAAAATCTACCATCTTTACCCTAAACTACACGATTTTTGACTTCAGAAACGATTTCTTATAGAAGACTACTTAGATTACTTATAGAAGTCACCTAACGTCTCTTTTTTTTTCAATCAAAGTAACCTATACTAGACCACTATATCACAGTAAGGTTACACAGATTTTAACAAATCAAAAAAAAAAATCCCACAATTCAAAGATTTTAAATATATATATTTTTTAGATTTAAAATAATTAAATTAAATCCAATTGTATTATTTTTGGAATCATGTGATCCATATAAAAATCAATCAATTTTTTTTCCATTTTTTCTTTCCAAAATGTATCGTCTCTTAAAACTTTTGCAACAGATAGTCCTAAAAATGTGTTTTAAGTTTAAAATAATTCTCTATGTTAAAAAAAATAGGTACCTTTATTTGTCCAAACCACAAAATAACACAATTTTCTTTTTGTTATGTGTAGTTGACCTTGTACTTGATAATACTCATCACAACTCTTATTTAATGTTATCTTTGAATTCATATATATTAAATATCTTAATTTAGAACTAATAGCAGCTTCTTCAGGTGAGCAATTACGAATCTTATAAGGACACTTAATTTCAATGATCGCATCATCACCAACTAAACCATCTGGACGGGCGATCAAAAAATTAAATTTTTCATCGATAAATACTCCACAGGGTTTTATCGTTTTCCCAGTAATTTTTTTAAAATCTTCTTTTGCTACGATTTCATTTTTTATACCATACTGTTTACCAATATTTGATTCTCTAAATAATATAAATATAAATATAAATTTTAAATATTTTTAACTAAAATGTAGTTAAAACGCTTTTTTATAAAGTAAACTAATCGTATACTATTAATTGGTGTATTTTTAATGAATTTTCAGTATGGAACAAAAAATATTTTCAATAAATAAAAAATCAGTTATAGTATAACAAAAGCTTAAAGGCAAACTACAACTCAAGTATTTTTGAAGTGGAACTTTTTTACAGAAAGTCCAAAAAAAAAACAGATTATCGAGTGTCACGGTCGACCATGGTCGGCTGTTAAAGTATATTAAATATTATAGTTTAGCACTATATTTTCAAAAATTAAAGTAATTTTATTTCAAATGTAATAAATAATTTAATTTCAAATTATTTCAATTGTGCATAAAAAAATGTTAAAGAACCACAATAGATACAATTTTCACGCAATACCTTCATAACGAAGTTTCATCTAATCCGCGCGTACTGGTAACATGCTCTGTTTTTTTCATTTAAGATAAAATTTTATTTAAAAAAATACTTACAATTATTGTTAAAAATTACAATTAATACTAATGATCCACTGTGTCATATAGTGTTGTAGCGCAGTGAATCATTCAGTTGCCACCTTAGCACTATTTGCTGTAAGTTCCCGAATAGGTGACCATACGAGAACTTCAACAGTGACATATAACTTATCATCTCCCTTAGCCATAATGAGGTTGTGTTAGCTCGACAGACGACGAATGAATTTTGTCAAATCATTGTAAGATAGAGCCGACCCCAAATAGCTGAGATAAAGACTAAGAAGATGATCACTTACAATTAATGATAAAACATTTTAAACGTATCATTATCATTATTTTTCTATAACGTTACCTGGAAATCAACTAGGGAATAAAATATTTCCATTGGATGACATTTGTGATGCCTAGATTACTAATTAAAAAATTAATTGATATTAACAGCAAAGTCAAAAATCGACCAATTGTAACTTCATTAAAGTTACGTTATAATTTAATTTAAGTTATGAGCTCACAAATATTATTTCTAAGTTAAAAAACTGTTAACTGGTATCGTGGGGTCCAAAAATACCACGATAAAATTACTTTTTGATGATAACATTAATGAATGTTGTCAATTAATTTCTAACCTCCTTGTATTCTTTAATCATGTATTTCAGTATGGTATACATCGAAAATATTTGTTATAACATGATTGTGTTATGAGGTATAATGAGTTATCATGGCAACGGGATTCGATATTACCCCATTATTCTAAATGTGTATGATTTTTTTTTTTTTTGATAATAAAAACGTTGAGTCTTTTAGCTTCGATGCGAAGCTGAGAAGGTATTGGTTTTTCTAAGATGTGTTTTTTTTTTGTGTCTGTTACCACTTTTTCTCAGCTCTCACCGAACCGATTTCTTTCAATGATATGTCAAAAGATCACAAATCGTATCTAGTCGAAGACATTACCCTTAAATATTGAAAAAAATTCCCTCGTTCCCCGTAAAAGGGGGAAACCTCCAAAAAAATTACAAATTTAAAAATCACTAATTTTCTAAATTTTTTTTACTTAAAAGTGCCATAACTTTTTCAAAAATAAACATATCAATATAATTCTTTTTTATATAGATGCATAATATCATTACCTTTCATTTGGTATATTTTTTTCATAAATTTAACCCTTAACCTGCCCACAAGGGGGGATTTAAAATGACAACTTTTTCACAAAAAATTAATTTTTTTAACTTAAATTTTGAAAATGTTCCGGAAGGTCTGACACTTTTATATATATCTTAAATTAAAGCTAATGTAATATGCTTTATCATGAAAAAAAAAAATTTCGGACTTTATCTTATCTTCATGGTGAAAATGGCTACCGAATGCTATTTTTGTGTGAAAATTTTCGATTTTGTATTTTCCATTTTTAACTTTATTATGCTATAACTTTTTGAAAAATGTATGAATCATTACAATTTTTTTATGAGAAGTAGTATTTATATAGATCTTTCATTCGACATACTGTTTTTTTAAATCGGACCATTTCCCTAAATACAGGGGGGATTCAAAACATAAAAATGCATATAGAAAGTAGAACTTTTTCAACGTAACTTTTGAAAGTGTTCCGGAAGGTCTGACACTTTTATATATATCTTAAATTAAAGCTAATGTAATATACTTTATAATGGAAAAAAAAAATTTCGGACTTTATTTTATCTTCAAGGTGAAAATGGCTACCAAATGCTATTATTGTGTGAAAATTCTCTATTTTATTTTTTACATTTTTAACATTATAATGCTATAACTTATTGAAAAGTGTATTGATCAATATAATTTTTTTATGGGAAATACTATTTTCTAATAATCTCTTTTTTATTCGACATACTTTGTCTTAATCAGGATATTAATAAGGAACTAGCAGTTTATGAAGCTTTTGGAATAATCCACCAATTTTTTAAAATTAAACACTATCTAAAGATTTGCATCGAAGCGTTTTTTTTTTGATAGTGATTTTAATCACTGTCAGATATCATTATACTTGATCCAACTATGCCACGTCACCACTGTGCCGCGACCCCCCTGTGCTGGGTTTTTTTAGTTCGAAATGGCCGTTTTAAATGATATTGAAAACCTTTTAGATATTGATTCTGATGGTGATTTAAGTGATAGTTCAAGCATTATTAGTGATAATTTAACCGAGTCTGAGTTCAAAAATAGTAGTGGTGATGACGATGTCAATATTGAAGATGACGGTGACAGTAGTTCTCCAGATACTCAGGCAAGAAGTTTACGTTTTTATTATGGTAAAAATAGATGTAAGTGGGCTACAGATGTACCTGCTCGATAACACACACAATGACATTTTATTATAGCTCATGTACTAGGAGTGATCAGTAAAGGTAAAATTAACAAACCACATAAAGTAGACCTCAGAGTGATTCGCTATTAGGTTTTCAGTCAGATAGATCAATAGTTTCTTACATTCCGAAAAAAAAATTAAAATGTTGTTCTGATTTTGTCTATGCACCACGGCAAAGATATTGATCATAATAGTGAAAAACCAGAAATAATTGAGTTTTATAATTCATAAAAAAGTGATGAAGATACATTAGACCAAAAATGTTCTGGGTACAACGTTGGACGCCGTACAAGATGATGACCACTAGCAGTGTTTTATGTGATGATGAATATTTCTATGACAAATGTTCCAATAATATATTTAAGTTCAAATCCAAACACAAAAAAAACTCGTCAGTAGTTTATAGTGAAAGTTAGAACATTTTTGATTTTAGAAGATCTTGAACAGAGAACTCAAATGCACAATTTGCCTCGAAATATTTCTACAGCAATAAAAAAAATTCTAGAAAAAGAAAATACGAACACATCTGAACCAAGAGTTGAACAAGGTTCATCTACCAAAAAAAGGTGTTCAATTTGTCCAATATCCAAAGATAAAAAAACTAAATTAGTATGTTCTAAATGCAATGCTCATAACTGTCAAATACACTCATCAAAAATAATAATTATTTAATTGGCAACAAACAATTATTGTTTATTGCCAATGCCAAAAGTAAAGGTAAAATATAAATCAAATTTTGATTGAAAATTATTACCAAAATCAACCCGACAAAATGAATTAAATTTTAGTTAATTTTTAATATTTTTAATATGCTTGCAAATAACATAAAAATTAAGTTTTTCATAGAATCTAATCAATTAATTATAAAAAAAATAAGCTATATTTAAAATTAAGTGTTAATAAAATCATTTTTTTTTCATTTTTTACGAAATGAACAAAAGAAGACTAAAAAATTTTTTTAAGTTGTTAATTGATGCATTATATGTTTATGAACAAATTTAAAATAGTTTCAACGTTTAAAAAAAAATTTTATTATTAGAAACCATTAAAAAATTTCGGGGTCCAATTGGACGCCATGATACCATATACGTATGAATAAATGAGAAATACCAGTAAAGGTTACCTACATTTCTTTTCTTGTTTTCATTAAATCATCATTATTAATTTTTAAATGATAAAAAACTTGTTTCAATGCATTTTTTATTGACGCTGTATATTTCATTTTACATATTTTTCCAAATTTTTTGGTATTCAATCTTAAACCACGATTTTTATTCCATAAGTCATTTTTATAATAAGTGTATGAATCTTTTTGTAAGGCTTCAATTTCTGATTTGTTAACTTTAATTAAATTAAAAATGATTCGTTTTTTTTCTTCAAATTCTTCACGTGTTAACGAGACATTGTTTGATTTATTATCATCAACTATATTTTTATATACTACAACATATAATAAAGGAAACATATAGTCATAGGCTAAATTAGTATACGTTTTTGGGGGTTGCTAAATCAATTCTCCCTACCCTAAACTGTGCTATATAGAACAATATATAATTTTATTTATATGACAAATCCAATGGCTTTTCATTCAACAATCATTTTACTGTATTTATTTTTTTTTAATTTTTTAATTTAGACGAAACTAAATTTTTTTTTATTATTATTTGCATCAAAAGAGAAAAAAATAAATATATATTTTTTTCGGAATTCTAAAATAACCACCTTTTTGCCTCTTTTTTCAAAAAATGTAGATCGATAACGACTTTAGGATAAATATTTATTTACAAATATTTTAATACGCGAGTGACTACAGTTTGTACTTGTGTATGTGTACTCCGTCCACGCTACATACTCACTTTTTGTGAGTACAGATTATAAAATATCAAAATACAGTTTAAATTTTTTTCAAACTTCGTAACTTAATGCCACTATTTTCAATAGAAAGTTAGAAGTTTTCAATTTAAGATTATACATATATATTCATTTATTGAAGTTTGAATAAAAATAATATTCAATTTTAACGTCTTCTTTTAAGAACTGACGATTGTAGTGCAGAACGAAAAAACCTAGAAATGTTACCTAAATGGAATCCTGGCTCTCCTAAAATATTTGTTTAAGTTATTAAAATTAACATTTTGTAAATTAATTACTAAAAGAAATTTGATCCTTAATAAAAAAAAGTTCAACAAAAGTTGCGTACATTGATACAACTAGAAGAAATTGTTTTGTTATATTTTAATAAAATTACTACAAAAATATAATTTTATGGTCTATAATGAAAATATTTTCAACTTTCTATTAGACTAAACATCGTGACAAATGTTAAAAATAGCTATATTATCACTTTCACTGTGAAATGGTCGGAAGGCTATCAAAGTGTCAAAGAAATTAAAACCTCCCTGTAGTATATTTGAATTAAACACTTTTCGTAAGTAGTCATATGCATAGTCCTAAAAATATACTATTGTATGAAAATTTTACGTTAACTTAACTCTTTAGAACAGATTTGTTTTTGTTTTTACAAAATTGATAATAAATAAAATACTAGCATCTTTTTTAAACAGATTAAATATTTATAAAAATCATTCAAATTTTAATTGTCCTTTATAATTTACTATCAAATAATAGAAAATCTTATCGAATCATTAAAAAAGTTAAATTGTATACTGACCATCTAGCGATAACGCTTCGGCGTATGATTCCATAATTTGTATGCAATGGACATTCAATATATTTAACAGTTTCATTACGTATTTGCTTAATTTATCTTCATTATGAGAAGTACTTTGTAAGTTAGGTTGGCTTTGTTCAATATCTGATAAAGTTAAAGATTCCGGTAAATACTGTTTAAATTGACACTGTTCGGTAAATTTATATATAGAAGTAAATAGTTCAGTATCATAGAAGTAAGTTATATTTTCTTCGGTTATCATGTCTTTATTTAGCTGTTCAATTATTGCCATTTTTTTAATTTTTTTTAACAATTTTAATTGCCAAGGGTTAAGAAAAAATCGACCCCGAACAAATAAAGAAATCATAAGAGAGAGATATTTCCTAAAAGTTTCAAATCTTATATTAAACTCGTGTTTGGGATTTGAAATTTTAATTTTGATATCGTTTTTAATATTTTTTAAAATATATAAGCAAAGTAAAGTGTGATAACATTCTACCGAATCTAAAATTTCCTCAAGTTTCTCTAAGCTTGCAACTTTTTTTTTTAAGAAATACCAATTCTTTTTATACGGTTGAGTCAGTAAGTAAATATCAATCTCATCAAATGAAGAAACAAAAATTTCGTCTTCATTTTCTTGAAATGCCCACTTTGACATGTCATCATTTATTATAGTCAGAGCTTCCAAGAATTCCTCGTTAAACGTAGTTTGATAATTGGGCTCCTAAAAATGTTTTTATTTTTATGTTTTATACCTAATATTTTAAATGATATTAGTTTATAATTTTCATATTCGTTTTTAAACAAAAATTATAAATGTACAAGAGAAACTTTAATTTTTATAATTTTAGTGATATAAAGTGTTCAGTAAGTAAGGAAACAAATTTCTATTGATTTCATAGTTTGAAAAAAATTACCCATTTCTTTACTTACTGAACAACTAGTATGTAAGGTGTACAGTTAGTAAAAAAAAATGTTTCTATAGTTCTCGTCGTTTATAACAATTGATCTGTGCCCTTAATTTTTGAACACTCTGTATACTGAATTTCTTGATAATATATGTGTAGCTTACTTCAATACCGGGATAAGCATCAAAAGAAACGACTAATAATTGAAAAATAACTATTACATTAAAGCACATACATAAACTACAAAAATGGTGGTATTTAAAATACATTTTGCAAGTAATTTTTTTAATTTTGATAAAAATTTATCTACTTGCATAGATAGTGCATATTCTAACTTATAAATGTGCAATTACACAAGGTAGTTTTAAAGTAATTTTTAATTTATTTACACAATTGAAAATATTACTATTTCAATATAAATTCGGAATATTTTTTCATAAAGTAACCATGTATGAATTATTAAAATTAATTATTTGTGAATTTCTATTAGTAGCATGTTAGTAAAATATCTTACACATTTTAATTCAGAATATTGAAATACATACAATGTGTTTATTTAGAGTAGCTACTTTCCGATTTTCCAATATGGCCAATTTTGGCTGAAATAGGAAATCAGTTCATACCATTGCTTAACCTTAGTAACAAATACAAGTGTTCAGTAAGTAAAGAAAAGAGTTTCTATTGTTTTCAATTTTGGTAAATTGGCTCATTCCTTTTTGAACAATTTGTATAGACATTCTTTCAATCAAAAATTACCCTTCAAAACAAAAAAAAAAAAAAAAAATTGTGATGGAAAAAAATCCGAAACTAGATTCAGAATCAGTATCAAAATTTCATATAGAATTAATCTAAATATTATCGACAAGAGAACATTTTTTAATATTTGTTATCTTGTGTTATTTTAACTTTCATGTACATTGAAATTAATCATGAATTAACTAAAAGTAGCTAAATAACAAGATTTTGAGTCTCTAGTTATCATTCAAATCTTAGGGAAGTCATCTTGAATGAACTATAATAAACATTAAAAAAATGTGTACATTACATAAATTAAACAATAGTATATATTGTACGTGTCTAATTTAAGAAATAATTTATGTCTTGTTAAATTTTAAAATTATTCTTAATTATTATTTAGTTTTGTAACATAATTCAAAATCGTATTAAATTTAGTTATTTTAATTCCTTAATATCTACACAGAGTATAAATTTTAAATAAAAATTAGTCTCTAACTGAAAATCTATATAAAATATTATGTGATGATAGTTTACATTAAATTTAAATAATTCTTTGTGTTTTTCAAATTAAATGTGCTAAAATTTGCAGTTAAAAGAATTTATTTTTAGTTTTGCAAACAAGGAAACATTATACAGAGTGTTTATTTTAAGTAAGTACACATTTTATCAGAAATGTTTAAACATTTTTATTTTTATAAGTAGAAAAATTATATGGTCCAAATTACACTGTAATAATAGTTTTTTTTCATTTATTTAGGAATAAATAATCTTAACTTATATTTTTCAATACGTGAGCCCCATTTTTAGAAACAAGGCTACCATCAATAGTGCTAATAGCACATACTATAGTATGTGTAACTATAATAAATATTTATATTTTTAATTTATTATTTTAAATATTTATGGTTTTTTTTTGCTTATCAAATCTTATCTTTGAAAAAGGAATGAAAGACTTGTCAGCACAGGCCTGATAGCAACTCACAAACTTCACCTATTATCATACTCCACAAGAAAAAGTCCAGTCGAAATCACATATGAAAATTCAATAAGTTAAGCTCAGAACTCTTTATTGATAATATGATAGAGAAAAAAAATTACAAATAATTATGTTCTTATAAATTTTTTATCCGATCATGTATTACAGAATGTTAAAGTTTGGTATTTGGTTATTATCCAACATACGGTTATCTTATCATTAATAATTATTAATTATAAAGTATAATTCATGTAATCTTGTTAGTTTTATATTCAACGCAAGTTTACTATTGTACATTTTTAGTCGACGGCGTGGAATAATTTTAATTGATAACTATCAAAAAATATTACATGGATTATTGAAACTGTTTATTGCTGTTTTCGGTATTAAGAAATCCAAATTAATGATTAATTTTATCCTTTAAATCCAAATTTTTAAAAAATATTTAGACGCAAATAGTTGATTGAAAAAAAATTATTTGTAAATTTTTATACCCATAGAAAGCTACTATAGTAATACAGTAAATATTTAAAATAAAAATATTTATTTCGGACTATCCTAGTTACCATCCCAGTAATTTTTTTAACATAAGCCATTTGATTTTTAAATGTTAAATCATCACTTTTAATTGACAACTTAAAATAAATATTGTTATATTACTTTATACAAAAAAGAGTTTGTATTTTATAAAATATAAGTTATTTTCCTTAAATACAATTTATATGAAATTCTAATTTATATAAATAATTTTCAACATCAAAAATGAAAAATATATGATATAGACTCCTATAAAAAATATTTTAATTCCTGTTTTAAAAACATAGCTTCATAAATAATTAAAATAAATTAAAAAAAAGAAAAGGGTAAAAACACTGCTACTGACAAAACTGCCTCTTTATTACAGTCATTTATCAATTTCTGCAACAGACAGAGTTTACTGCTACGCAATCTAAGTAGGAGTATATAATGGGAAAACTTATCATCATTCCAGCATATTTTAAATATTACGAATGTATNTTAAATCTTTCTTTATCCGATCCAGCCAACGCTGACGTGGTCTTCCTCTGGGGCGTGTTTTATTTAGTTTAGATACCAAAACTTGTCTCATTAGACTGTCCTTATCTCGCCATATGTGTCCGGCCCATTCCAATCTTTTTGATACAAGATATTTTTGGATATTTGGTCCGTTAAAGATTCTTTCAATATCTGCATTAGTTCTCCTTTCATATTGACCTGTTTCCGTATTATATATGGGACCATATATTCTTCTAAGAACCTTTCGCTCAAATGTTAGTAGCTTTGTCTCGTCCCCTTTAGTTGTTGACCACGTTTCACAACCATACATTACTATGGGCCATAAGTAGGAAATATATAGCTTTTTCTTAGTTTCTCTGGAGAGAAGTTTAGAACTGAATATTTTGCTCATTGCATAATATCCTCGATTTGCCGCATTCAGCCTCAACCTTATTTCGTTATGCATATCATTCCTATTATTCAAATTAACCCCCAAGTATTTAAAGTCTTCTACTTGCTCAAATGTATATTCATCTACGGAGAGATTCTGTAAAATTCTTGGACGCCTGCTCATGATCATATATTTTGTCTTGCTCTCATTTATATTGAGGCCCATTCTTTTACTAGACTTAATTAATTTATTTGTACTTTCTTCTACTTCGACTTGAGAGTCTCCAAGAATGACAATGTCGTCAGCATATGCTAGCAATGTTCCCTTACCATTTAAATCCATTTCTCGGGTTTCATTCATATCTCTCACTATTCTTTCCAATGCTATATTGAATAGAATCGGGGATAGCGCATCCCCTTGTCTTAAACCAGACTTGACTTCGAAGTCCCCTGACTCCCTTCCCAAGAAACGCACTTTGCATGTAGCATTAGAATTGCAGCTTTTAACTAGATTTACAAGTTTTTTGGGCAACCCAAAATTCTGTAATGCTATCCATAGTTGTTCTCTGTCGATGCTATCGTACGCTTGTTTAAAATCTATAAATATCATGTGTAAGTCTTTGTCAAACTCATAATACTTTTCCATTGTTTGTCTGAGCGTAAAGATATGGTCACTGGTGGATCTTCCTTTTGTGAAGCCGCATTGATATTTTCCTACTATGTCAAAAGCGAATGCTTCTATCCTTCGTAAGATAGCTATTGAGAGCACCTTATACGCAGTGTCTAATAACGAAATACCTCGATAATTATCAACTTTTGTTGGGTCCCCTTTCTTAAAAATTGGGCAAATAATTGATGACGACCATTCCTGCTCTATTTGTTCGGTGTTCCATATATTCGTTATAATTTGGTGTAGGTTAATTAGTACATCTTTTCCTGCAATTTTTAGTAGTTCAGAATTTATGTTATCATCCCCTGGAGATTTATTATTCTTTAGTGATTTAATGATTATTTCAATCTCCTCGATACTTGGTGCTAGAAGTTCAGGTTCTGCTGTATGATACACTAATTCTTCGTACTTTTCATTATTGTTACTTCCGATGCGGTTATTTTTGTTATTTAGGAGTTCTTCGAAAAATTCTTGAAATTTGATTACAATCTCGCTAGGTTCTGAAATTATATTACCACTTTTGTCTGTGATGAAATTAATACGTGCTTTAAATCCTTCCTTAACCGACCTACACTTCTTGAAAAACAGTCTCGGTTCTTTCTTATATAATTCGATATCTTCTAAAACTTTTTTTTCCATTGAGCGTTTCTGTTGTCTAATTACTTTGTTGGCTACAGTTCTAAGCTTTGAGTATTCATTAAAGTTTTCTGGTGTAGGATTCAGTATCATATTTTGTCTAGCTAAACTTCGCTTGTTAATCGCAACTTGGCACTCCAAGTTATACCAATGATTTTTATTTTGTTTAATGTGCTTACCTCGAAATCTCTCAGCAGCTTTTGTTAGAGATTCTTTTGTCTTTGACCACAATGTTATGTTATCCGATTCATGTTCTGCAAGATTATATTTTCTGAGATTTTCAGATATCTCTCTTTGGTATGTATCTATCTCCTTTGAATTCCTAATTTTTTCTATGTCAAGTTTGTTATTCTTTCCTGTATGTATCTTACTCCTCCATTTTACTGATAGCTTTAGTGCGAACGTTGCAACAACTAAATAATGGTCTGTATCTCCATCGGCTCCTCTGTAACTTCTAATGTTACGAATTGACGTTTTGTGCCTCTTGTCTATGATGACATGGTCAATTTGACTTTTTGTTTTCCCATCTGGAGCAGACCATGTATGTTTATAAATATTTTTTCTTGGGAAATAAGTGCTGCTAATTATGAGGTCTTTTGAAGAGCAAAAATCAACTATTTTGTGACCATTGTCATTTGTGGTAGCATGCCAGCTCTCTTTACCGATCGTTTGTCCAAAGGATGTTTCTCTACCAACTTGAGCATTTAAATCCCCAACAATTAACCTAATACAATTTTTAGGCAATGCGTCAAAAGTTCTTTCTAAAGTATCATAGAAACTATTTTTTTCCTCGTCGTCTGCATTTTCAGTCGGCGCATAGCAGTTCAATATTATTAAATCTAGTTTCTGGTGAGATATTCGTAGGTAGCAGATGCGTTCATTCACTGGCACAAAT